TCATATTCCGCTTGGGAACCCTGCAGCCCAATGGTATCAATGTGGACTTCACAAGCTTCAAAATCTCCCCTCCCCCTACCGCATCCCAAAACCAGCCCAGCTCATCCCTGCCTCCCTAACCTGTCCTTCCTCCCACCTATCCCCTGCTCCCGCCACAAGCCCCACCCCCATCTCCTACCTACTAACCTCATCCTGCCCCCTTGACCTGTCCATCCTCCCTGGACTGACCTATCTCCTCCCTACCTCCCCACTTATACTCACCTTTACTGGCTCCATCCCTGCCTCTTTGACCGGTCTGTCTCCTCTCCACCTATCTTCTCCTCTATCCATCTTCTATCCGCCTCCCTCTCTCTCCCTATTTATTTCAGAACCCCCTTCCCCTCCCCCATTTCTGATGAAGGGTCTGGACCCGAAACGTCAGCCTTCCTGCTCCTCTGATGCTGCTTGGCCTGCTGTGTTCATCCACCTCTACACGTTGTTATCTCTGGAACTGGATACTACATGTTTGACTGTAAGAGGTTAAGTAGACCGTATAACCATGATAACAATGATTAGTAGGTTGAGATGAGTGAAGCACATCCTCTTAGTTCCATTTTGTTATTTTGAAATCATTGTCTTTTTTGACGTATTGTGATTTAGAGAAAGTATGTATGTAATGTAGAGATCAAGGGTAGAAGTGGCATAAGATTTTTGAGTAAATCGTTGAATATTGCAGTCACACCCAGATTGTGGAGGACTTCAGACCCAAAATCTTACGGTGAATTATGACTTCAATCTAGAATCGCCTAAACACACTGGAATGGTGCAGTGTGGTTTACCCAACTACTCATGTTGGCTTATGTAACATGAACTCATTACAGACTTAATTTTGCATAAGTTACATAATGTCTGTGTGCTTTGCTTTTTATGGTAATGAAACAATTTAGAAGAAGCAGGCTAACACACATAAGCTTTTTCTTTCCTGGTGTGGCAGTCTAATTGAGCACTACGTTATGGTCTGAGCGGCATCTTGTAATGTGTCAATATAATCTCAAATGTTACAGTCTGCTTTCACACATCAATGTCCCATTTTATTTTCAATTAATTCCATTGCCTGGAGATTGAATGTGATGACTCCCATGTCCTTTTCTAAGTACTACAATGTACACACATGCTCACAGACAGACACACATGCTTCCAAACGTGTTTGTATGTACTGCCTTATCACAAATAGCAAATGAGACAACAGAACAATTGCCTTACACCTCATACTAGTTCAAGTTGGAATACAAAACATACTGACTTGTCCAAAATATTAAAACATAGGAGCAGGAGCAGGCTATTCATTTCCTGTGTCTGCCCTACTGTTTTCAATCATGGTTGATTATCTACCTCAATTGTAGAGCGAAAAGGAATCCTTCATTCAGTCCACAAGCACGAACCTGAGCTTGTGCTGTCCTGGCATTTTAATTCTGCACCTGGAACTCACACTGACATCTCTGACCTCACCTAATACAGCGTTCCAATACAAGTCAAAGAATGACACCTCATCTTTCAATTAGACATTTTACAGTCAACCAAATTCAACATTGAGATCAACAATTTCAAATTGAAATCTTTGCTTCCTCAGTTTGTTTTTCTGCATGTGTTGGTCTTCTTGTTCTCATTTTCATTTTGGATGCGATTATAATAGCAATGTTTAAGAGGCATTTTGACAGATTTATTAATAGGCAGGCAATAAAGGGATACAGACTGCATAGAGGCAAAAGATTTTTAGTTTAGAAAGGAGTCATGTGCAGGTGCAGTCTTGGTGGGCCGAAGGATCTATTCCTGTGCTGTACTATTGTTTGTTCTCTGACAGCAACTGTTCACTATTAGACCTTTTCTGGACCCATATTTTGTTGTTTTATCTGTCCATTACCATTTCCTTCGGCTCAACTCCACCAACCTTTATGTTACTCAATGTCTTCCATCTTCTGCCCTATCACATACTTTTTGTTCTTTTGCTACCCAACTGCATTTCACCAACATGAAAGCTATTACATTCTTAAACTTTCCTGCTTTTGATGAGAGGTCATAATCTAAAATGTTTCTGTGAGCAGATGCTGGCAGAATAATGAGTATTTTCAGCATTTTTTAGTTACATTCGAGTATATAAACGTAGCAACACGAGCACATTAATCCATATGCAACAGATGATTAAAATACTTGCACTGCATAATGAGTATAAAAGAGAGATTCTTTATTCCATTAGCAATGAATATTTGTAGATATTAATGGAAAATAGTGACAAAACTGAGTCATATATCTGAAGGAAATAAAGAATAGTATTGATAAAGAGCAGCTGGATGGAAGGAGAAGATTGTGGATCTGACTAAGCCAGTGGACACTCTTTAAGAAAAATATCAGATTACTTTGGGAGGAAGGAATTGAGTAGGATGGAGCACAGATGTATGCAACATCAAGAGGCACGCACAGTCTATGCCTCCTACTGGTTCATGTCAGGCTGTCCTGGAAAATAGTGCTGGTAATTAAGAAAAAATATCATTGTGAGAGAGAAACGATTCCTAGAACTTCAGTCCACCCACAACATTCTATTGTAGGTTTCCAAGCCATCTTTTCCTCTGTTTAATCTTGACTTAGGGACTGTGTATCATGATAAGGATTGAAGTAAGTGATGTAGAGATGGGAAGAACGTTACACAGTAAAAGAAATAACTGCTAACTGATTTAACAAATGCTTAGCAACAGCTGCTAGTCACTCTGACAAATTAAAATGCGTACAGTGTTTGCAAACTTCTGTCTAATAGTATTCTTCAGTTTTGAAAAGATGTGTAAGACTCAAATGGTCTTGCCAAATCTGTGCAAAAGCAGTTTTACATGGAACAGCGGTTTAAATCCAAGCTGCTAATCAAAATGGTTTTCCTTCTTTCTTGCTCTGCAATTGTCATCATGACAGATTAAAAAAAAGGAAAATCCAAAGCTGTTTCAGCTGTCCGGGCAATAACCAGGTGTGCTTGGAATTATGGCCAACAGTCCTTTTCTTCCTCCAGCATTTGTTAACCCTTTCAAATGCTTAAAAACTCCCAAAATCTGTCTGCCTTCTCCTTCTGAAATCATGTTATTTATTCATTAGTACCTCTTCTGGTTGCAGGTGCTAGGTGAAATCGAGTACCTTGCCCAAGCCATTTTAATATGAAAGCCAAGACAAAGGCCTGTTTGACCATGTGGGTATCAGAGCTGAACCCAATCATGCCCTGTTTTCAAGAGTCACTTTACAACGATCAGGAGCCTTGGCTGATTGTACGCTCTTTTATTTAGACCAACTGAAATCAATTATAGCCTCCACAGCTAAAATCAGATGAAAGGCTCTTGTGGTGCAGTGTTGTCATCCCTACCCCTGAACTAAGAGGCCTGGTTTCACATCCCACCTGCTCCAGCCGTGTGTAATAACATCCCTGAACAGATTGATAAGAAAAATAGACTAAAATCAGCTGAGGGCAGTTGTGGAACAGTGGTCATGTTTCTACCTCTGAGCCTAGAGGGCTTGGTTCATGTCCCACCTGCTCCATATTTGCATAACAACATTTCTGAACAGGTTGATTTTAAAAAAAACTAAAATCAGCTGACAAAGCACAGAGGAGGGACCAAACCTAGTATTATTCTGGTCTGCATGGCTCAGTTCTATAATGAAGTTAGTGGAAAGCAGGATAGGACAGAGTCTATTATGGGTGGCTTATTTGTTACTGCACTTTTTTACTACACCCTGCCAAATTTGTAAGTTCCTTTCAAGGTTTATACTTTACTGAGTCATGTAAGGATTTTGCTCCTTAGTATATAGAGGCACACTTATAGTCTGCTGAGCCTGTTTGAACCTTTAACATGATGATAAGAGCTTTTCAATTTTTCTCAAACTTCTCCCAGTTTGGCAATTGTCATTCCACAAATGCTATGCACTATTTGAGAAACAGTTTCTAAAAAAAGCTTTGGGATGTAAAACCGGCACTTAAGTGAACATAATAGATGCTTTCCCCTGTGAAAAAGTAGAAGTAAACTGGTTAGGCTACTGTGTTGCACAACACAGGTTTCTTCTTTGTATGACATGCATCTTGAAACTGTTGGACAAGATGATCCAGAATGTGACAAGATGCATCTTAATCCATTGTATCCCTTGAATGGTATAAACACATTATTAATTCTGTTTTTAGATGCCACCCACATGCTGTTACAGTAATGATTTAACTTTGACTCTCTTAATCCTCCCATTTCATATTACTAAAATAAATCTGCATGAAAAGAACTTTATCACATGGTAAAATCTCTTTATCAATTTTGTTTACAGGCAGGTCTGTAGTGGCATCATTGCAACTGTCATTATGGCTTTGCCAACTGCATCTACTGCTGTTAAAAATGATTCTTGAACAAACTAAATCTCGATAATGGGCTCCCTGAATGGTTCTGCACATTAATCCAATAAAGGGCCCGAGCTTAACAGACTGGCACAGTGGCTCAGTGGTTAGCACTACTGCTTCACAGTGCCAGGGACCTGGGTTCAAATCCGACCGTGGGTGACTGTCTGTATGGAGTTTGCGCATTAAGGGGGCCCTCTTGTGGTGCAGTGTTAGTATCCCTACTCCTGTCTGGACAGCTGGGGTTCAAGTCCTACCTGCTCCAGAGTTGTGTAATAAGATCTCTTTGATTAGAAAAGTGGGGTAAATTAAAAAAATTAACAGACCATCAAGTGTCTGATGCTGGCTGGTTTACTATAATTAGTTCAGTGTTGTGATTTACATGTTAGTGGGGGATAGCTTACATTCCTTACGCAAATTTGCTGTCCAGCTACCTTGTTTGAAATGCACATGCATGGATGTCAAGTTGTGGATAATTGGGGTCCCATGTATGCAAGTTCCCTGCAGTCAATCAGCTTGTCCATTGTAAAGTTGAAATACAAAGACTTAAATTTTGCATTATTTTCATTTACTGTGCAGTGCACTCACTTTGCATTTCAAATGTGCTTTGCAGGTGATCCTGATTCTCACTAAGCTCTTCCATTCAGATATGGGGAAGGTTCTGGAAAGTTCTTTGTGGAGGTGAGTCACTTTTTGTTTATGTAGAAATGCCTGCAAAAATAAACGTGTGCCGATTTCCAAATGAGGAGGATTTCAGTACAGGAATGACAATGAGAACAGATGGGTGGGAGTATAGCTCAGAATTCATTATTTGCTAGCTTCAATATTAAAGATGTGCATTTCTATATTTTTATTGGAACATATCCTACAAGGGATTATAGGATTTGAATCTACTGATAAGTAATAACAATTTTGCTCATTGTGCATAGGACTATCCAAAACAAAAATTCTATTAGATTACCCTCTCAACTTGTAAACCAGCTATCAGGTTACTTGAGAAGTCTTATTCATCTCTGTCAGTGATTGTTGACAGTCCTCTGTGGAAACCGACTCCTGCTTTCATTCCTTCTTGGTTTGTGACTGGATTTCCATAAAACAGTCAGACACAGGAATGAGCACTTCATCGTTCAGCAATGTTGATACATGACTCCCAGACACTTCAATTATATGTTCCCTTTACATAACCAAATTTCTGCCAGTGGCAAAATTCTGACTGTGACAAAACCAAAATATCTGCATTTATATAGTGTCCTTTATGACTAAAGGATAGCCCAAAGTTCCTAACTGCTATTGAGGTATTCTTTAAAACATTGTCATTTTATAATTTAATAAAAATGACTGCCAACTTGTATATATTAAAACCTTTCAAACATAAAAATGCTGTAATGGCTGAATGTATTTCTTGATGATTAAGGGACAAATTTTGATTTGGGGGACTCCCTACTTTCTTTTAGATAATGCTTAATATCTTTTATGTCAGCCTGAAAAAGTAGACAGGGTCTCGTTTGAAAAGTACCACCTCCTACAGTCCCGGGAAGAGGACTTAAAACCACAACGTTGTTACCAACTGCAAGGGTGCTACAACTGGATCACAGTTAACACCAATTTGCATTATGAACCACATAATGCAACTTCTACTAGTCAGATGGGCAAACACTTGCAAGCTAGGTTTTCGTAGGCTACTTTCAATTGAATCTACCAGAAATGGTGCATTTAAAAACACGCTGCATGTTACACATAACTCTGGTCCAGTCATACTGGGGCTTGACCGCAGGGGATTTTAGCCTGTGGAATCATCACCACATTATTTGCAGCCAAACTGGCAAAGTCATCAAATGAGCATTTTTGTGAAGTGTGAATCTCGCATTTGGGTTTGCTGCTGTCAGATCTGATGCTTGGCATAGGCTGCACCAATTTAGTGAAATGGGAACCACTGCAATTAATTACAATCAGTAATTCACACCCAGGAGTATTGAAATTTAAGAAAGAACCAATTTGTTATTTTGTAGAGTGTTATGTGCACTATAGTGCATTAGACTGCAGGCATTTTAAAATAACAGTACAGGTAATCTGACCCTAATGTGTATTGGCTCATATGATTTGATCGGTAGTAGAAGAGCAAGCTTTTTATTTGCAATAATTTGTCTTTTGTGCCACCACCAAACCATCATGAGTTCAAATGAAACAAAAAGTTTCTTTAACCATCTCTGCATTATTGGGTATAACTGCAAGCAAAGGTTGAGAAGAAATTTTTCTGAGGGTGGGCCTTTGCTGACATTAGAGGAAGGTCCTTACGAGGCAGCAACTAAAAACCACTTTGCAGGCCTCACTTTACAGGTAGAGAGTTCAGTCATAGCCAGAACTAAATTATAAGACAGCGCTGTCAGGAGAAACTGTTCTTAAATCACCTTGTTCATATTATAGCATTACCATTACAGTCAGGACAGTCTGCTCCTGGCAGTTGTATCTTTTCTACTGGTTGGGAGAAAAAAAAACACATTGTCCAGTGAGTGGAAAATTCAGTTCATGGGTCTGCACTGGAAAAGTGCCTCTCAGCCTGCCCCATGGCTGTAGACAGAATTGTTGCCTCTTCAGACCAAGCATTGTATCTCATCTCAGGGGTCCATGTCAGACTTTCTGGAATGAGCAATGCTACCTTCTTTACTTCTTAGCAGTACTACTAGATTGGGACTGTCATTGTCAGACATGCTGCAGCATAGTTACACATCCGTAGGACTTAACACATGAACACTTTTGCACTTTGCCATTGTAAATAGCTCGGAAATGCGTTGCCAGGCTGGGAAAACAAACGAGGCCATTCTGCTGCTTCTGAAACATGGAAAGAGATGGTTTTCACTGGAACCCATGACCACGTAACATGAAAATGGTTAATGATTTGATTGATTTGAAACTATCCATACCCCAGTCCCAGTTTTCAATTGCTTTGAAGAATGAAGAGGAAGAGTGGGTATGGTGCCCCATGGGCAGCCAATCTCAGTGCACACTTGTGCCCGGCTGATGCCCATAGAATCCTACAGCACACAAGGAGGCCAATCAACCATTGTTGACTGTGCTGGTGCTCTGAAAGAATTATTCAATACATCCCAATCTTCAGCACTTCTCCCATAGCTGTCCAAACATTTCCTTTTCAAGTCTTTATCTCGTTCTCCTTTGAAAACTTCTATTGAATCTGTTTCTGCCCTGATAGGCAGTGCATTTCAAATGACAACTTGCTGAAAGTTTTGCTCCGTGTTTGTATCCTGAGATGTCTATATATGGCACAATCCATAACGTGACCACGTCAGTAGGACACAGGGGTGTCCATTTATGCATATTTTAGCTTTGTTTTAATAACTTGATGATAAACTTTGTGGGAAGTACTATGCCATTGGAGTACATTCAGGAAGAGTTATTGTTTAGAAACACATTTATGTAATATAGGCACAATCAGATTGTATGCTCGTTATGTGTAGCAGCATAGAATCACAAAACCCATAACCAAAAGATCATAAAATGTAAGAGTGGAAGCAGGCCATTCATCCCAACAAGTCCACTCACTATTCAATGAGATCATACTCAATGATAATCCCCAATTCCACTCTCCAGCTTTATCCCCATAACACTTATTCTCCTTAATGATTAGAATTCTGTGTTATTCAGCCCATATACCTGTGTAAAGTCAGGAGGGATGTGGAAGTGGCAGCTGTTCCTTTAAACAATTTAATCCACATTCAGAATTACCCTTAATTCTTGAAAGCGAACATGGGGGTAAATTTTCAATTTTGCTGCCTAACAGTTTAGTAGTCGACCACATAAAGCAGAACCCACCCCATTTTTATTCTAAGCCTTGAAGTGGAAAATATATCTAACTGTCTATACAGAGTAATAATTAGCTGACAGCAAATTGAAGAAGAGAACACACTTGGAGGCAATTTTGCAGTGCAGCTGCTATGTGCTGTCTTGAATCCATTTCCGAATGTAATAGTTCTGTGAATGTGAATGTAGTGTTAAATCTCCCAGTAAGAATTGTTTAGAATATGGCTTGGGAGAAATCCACTGGCCTCATAGCATGGTACAGATTGATTTGCCACTTGAAGGCTTTAATTTTAAGCAAACAAATGTCCAAGTTATTACATTTCACATCACTGGTTCAGGATAGCGACACTAGTGAAGTGGGTGAGGTTGGGGAATGGAGAAAAGTTTAATCTAGCACAGTTAGTCAGATCAGAGCTTCAATTAGGTGCTTGTCTTGATGTTGACTGAAGCCTTTTAAAATCCAAGCAAAGGACTGTCTCTGCATCATAAGACAGGGAAAAAACGTAAATTAAACAATTCTGTTTTTTTAAAACAGTGCCATTTTGGTGCAGGGTTAGTAATTCAGAATGTATTGCTAAATACTGGAGTCAAAATTGGATAAATGGGAGACCCTCGCAAAGGTGTGAAGAAGAGAACAAAACTGTAGAACTTCTTTTTGATTTCCATTTGTAATGTTGTGCATTGTACTATGTCATAGGGTACCTGTGGACTTTAGACTTAGACAATGTAAACTTCTCTTAATAATAAAACTCTTCCCAATTAATGTGCCTTTTCTTTCTTTGTCAGACAAACAATTTTCAGTTATTCCTGGAAATAAAAGTTGGTTATGAGATGAATAATGTTCTCGTAGGTTAAACTCACTTTCTGCTACAGAGGCTGCTGATGGATGTGCTGCAGATGAAATTACCCACTTGCTGTTGGAGACAGCCAAGCCTTCCTGAAATTGTACTTGCTGTCTCAGAACAATTTGCCAGGAATAACAAATGGAAACAGCTTGCGATAGTGATACTTAATTCTGCCATTTTCAATCTGGCTGTGGGACAGCTGTCTGACTTCGGGGAAGACACCCAGCTTTCATCGCTAAGTTGCTTTTGCTCTATCTGGGCGTGCACCAAGTTCAAACATGAGCAGCTGCATTAAAACCTCATTTATGGCTGATATATTGGTAAATCTTGTGTTTGCATAGTTTTCCTGTTGTGAACCTCCCACTCAGAAAATGGTACTAGATTAGCAGCTTGGATGTGCAGATCTCAGAATGGGAAATTTAGCAAAATTTACAGCTCTGGAACAAACCGTTCTGCCCAATTTTTCTGAATTGGACTGGACTCAAGACATGAACTCTGTTTTTCTCTCTCTACAGATGCACCAGACTTGCTTAGTTTCTCCAGCATTCTCTGTGTTTGTTTTCCCAATTGTTATGTGTTTATGTGTATTCTCCAAGTGAGTCTCCTTCCACCCTATTTTGTTCAACTCTACTAGCAAAACCTATTTATTTCTCCTTTGTCCAGCTTCTACTAAAAATGCATATATGCGATGAATCTGGGAATTTAAAGGCTGGCACCAGGAAGATAATATTACCTTTAAAGTTGCTGAACTGTTATAAAAATCCAATTATTTTGTTATTATTCATGAAAGAAAGAAACCTGCTGTTTATCCTTTTATTCCTACATCAGATGTAGTTATCACTGACCAGGACAGCATTTGCTACCCGTTGTTAATTGCCTTTGAGAATGTGGTTGTAAGTTGCCTTCTTTAATCACTGCAGTCCATCATGTGTTTATTGAGAGTGCCGTTGGAAGGGGTTCCAGGATGTTAACTTCGTCACAGTGAGGAAGGAGCTGTAGAAGGAGCAAGGTGAGATGCAT